CCACATAGATCACTTTTCCATAAGAAATGTGCGGGGTCCTTTAAAGCGCTTCCCCTGAATCCAATTTTCTCAAGTTTTTGGCTTAATTTTTTGTGACAAACAGTATCAAACGCTTTTTTTAGATCAATGAAGATGCACAAGGAAGCTTGTTTTTTATCTACTGCTTCGTACATTTGCTCGCATAAATTTATTATTGCATCTTCAGTTGATTTACCTTGTCTAAACCCGAACTGCCTGCTTGACAAAATTTTATTTTCTTCAAGGGGAGTAACCATTTTCTTTTTAATAACTATAATTATTTATATCTGACGCCGAGCCTTCCTTTAACAAGGGCTTAATACTAGCCAACTTATGCGAATCTGGGAAAATTACGTCAATATAGGAGAAATTTCATAAACAAGTTCTTTCAAAGTTTCTGCTTTTATTTTATCAGGTCCAGGAGAGTTTTTCAACTTCCGTTCCTTAATAACATATTTTGCACCTCAAAAAATGAAACGTTTTTGAACAAATGAAAACTTTTATCATTCCATTTTAACTGGTCAACGTATTCCAAGGGGCTGCTCAATTGCTGCGTCAAATTTTTACCAATTTCACAGAAGAAATTATTAAATTTATTAGTCATTTGATAGGAATCGGTCGGTATGATGTTTTTAGTAAATTCTGTCTGCTTTTCCGTCTTCGCAGCGCTACAGCGTCTGGTATCGTGAAATGGTTGGAAGATCACGTCATCCTTGTTTACGAGGTGTCTCGAAAAATTATAGTCGATAATAGCCCTCAGTTTCGTAGTAAACTTTTCCGCGAGATGCTCGCTGGTTACGGAATTGACTTGAGATGCACTGCAAACTATGATCCTCAAGCCAACCCTGTTGAACCAGTACATCGAGTGCGTAACGAGCTATGTAAAACAGGATCATCGACATTGAGAAACTTTCTCGCCAAGGCTGGATGCGCTATCTGATCTGCTAGACACGACGTAACCGGTTTTACTGCAAACTTTTTTGTTTTTGGGAGAGACTTCATCTTTCCGCGATTTGTTAGAATTGTTCAACGATATTCACGAGAAATTAAAGAAAAAGTCACGGTACGGCTACGATCTGCGCCGACGTGATGAAAGTTTTGTTGTGGACTAACCAGTTTGGAAGAGAAATTACAATCTCTCTGATGCTGCCAAGAATTTCACTTCTAAGATAGCCCCAAAATTCTCTGGCCATTTTATCATCCCTAAAATCTCCATCCCTTTCATCATCCCTAAAAACTCCCTGGTCATATGAATTGAAGGGCAGGTCCATCAGTGGGTGTTTGGCATGCCAAGGACCTGAAAGCTAATCCTCGTGATGCCCTGGTTTTGGATGGAGTTCAAAAGGGGTCAACTGAAAAGTGACGAGTTTGGAATTAGTATTGGGTTGTGATTTGAGATTTGTATTTCGTTGGTTCAATTTCTTTTCTAACAAATAACTAAGAAAAGTTTGTGCTGTCCTCAGAGGTCCAGAGGCGGGAGACCTAGGAGGGTCTCCAGGGCCCTTGTTGGGGCCGTACGCATGGACCCCGTTATGCTGAGGCAGGAAAGGCGCTGGACTCTGTCCAGTTGCGCCCGTATTTAGGCTTTCTCCGTGCAAGGCCACCAGATGATACGTGAGAAGAGGTTTAACTATAGAGTTATGAATCCAGTAAAGGATCTTCGGTGAGAGACCCCAGGTGCAACCAAAGGCCCGTCTACATGCCCAAAGGGCACAGGTAGCCTTTTTCATCCTGTTCTCTGCGTGTTCATACCAGGACAGTTTAGAATCCAGCATCACGCCTAGATACTAAACCACCCTGGAGTACTTAAAAGTCACACCTCCCAGAGAAATGTTGGGCGGTGTGCCGAAGTTGCGTCTCCTGGAGAAGAGTAGGAGCTCCGCCTTATTAGGGTTTATCCTGAGTCCTTCCGCAAGGCACCACCGGTTCACTATGCGCAGAGCCCTTGACATAGGGCCCTACAGTGAGGCGGCGTTCTTTCCCGGACAAAGGGTAACCAGGTCGTCGGCATAGGCCTGAGTATACACGCCTGCTTTGTTTAGATTAGTAATCAGGTCGTCAACCACCAGGTACCACAGAATCGGGGATAGAACTCCGCCCTGCGGACAGCCTCTGGCCGCCATCGCTCTAACCACCGCATTATTAAGCTCTGCGAACACTCGGCGTTGCGAGAGCATGGCCTCTATCCATCTCACCAGACATGGCTCTAAGCTACGCTCAGTGATGATATCCGACGAGATTTAAAGGGGGGAAAGGACTTAATCGCCCATATAACCCTCTCATAACTTACTACTTTTTTGGCGGTGTCGTGCCCAGCGCTAATCGGGGCCCGAACGCCGGCCAATACAGCGTTGTTTGAACTGGAGCTCAGAAAGTGCGTGCGGAGCATGAACTCCAGGATTTCCTGTTCGTTGGTCTCGAAGACACCGCCCGGAAGAGACAGTGACCCTATTCTACTACCGGATTCCTTTGACAGAGCCTTGCAGAGGCGAGCTGCTGGGGATATTTTTTCAACATTCCCGCAATATTGCCTCCAGCTCTGTGTTTTGGAATTTTTGGAATTTTGGAAAGGGTATGGCTCATTAGCATATTTCGAGAGAGCATTTTCTAACAAACAGTACCACACAATCGCTAGTTTATTCATATATTGAACTAAAATTTTCCAAAAATATTTAGAATGCTAGAAGAATTCTTAATTTGAGTGATGAACTACCGATTGTGTGGTACTGAATTGCTCGTTAGAAAACGCTCTTTTGGAACATGCTCATGAGCCATACCCTTTCCATTTGAAAAAACTGATATAAGGTACCTGTCCCAAATAAGGCCATGTTAAGAAGTTTTATTTTTCCCGAACACTATCCACCAAACCCAACAAGAATCACGAGCTTATATGTGAAGTGTTTCGCCTCTATTACTTGAATAATAACTCCAATTTATTTATTTTTACATATGTGGTGGTTTTTGCGTAAAACAATGACCCTTACCATTGGCCTTATTCGGATCACTATGCTCCTAATAAGGCCAACAATAAAAAATGTTTAAAATAAATAGAATCATTCATAAAAATATTATTTTTCGACATAAAGTTCTCAAAATAGAACTTTAACGTTTGCTGCATTCTAAAAAAACAATAATTTGAAGTCCAGGGATGGTAATCCGAATAGGTCTACATACAACTAGGACAAATGAACCGCAGCTTTTCTTGCTTGGTTAGACTTCAGGCGTTCTAGAACACACCACTTAAGCAATAATATGACACATTCTTTTTAAAAAAACACTGTGATGGGAGGCCAATTGAAAATTTTCCATGTGGCCTTGTTAGGAACATGTTACATTGATAAACAAAATTCTGTAACTAGAAATCTAGCAAAGATATTATTCTGTACTTACTCTGTAGCTTTCTCAATACATAAATGTCCATGTAAAAATTACATTCGCTCCATTCCCTTTCTGAACATGTGTATAAACTAATTAAGTTCCAGCCTCAAAGTTATAACGTGACATATGAAATCTGTGGTTAGCCATTTTTCGACATATAACGAGTTGCTAGGAATCCTCGCAATAATTTTTGATTTGCATATAAGATATCTTTTTCAATAATATTTCAATTTTTGATTATGGGATTCAATATTAAGCAATAAGGGGCATTGGCCTTATTAGGTACATGGCCTTATTTGGGTCAGGTACCTTAATTCAAAATGCGCTTCTACTATCTTTAAATGTGTCTGTAGAGGATATAAAATACAAAATAAGATCAAAACAAATTTTCCCTTGTTCCTAGGAGCAAAATTAAGCATTTTGATTTATTCATGGTGCTCTAGATTTAAAAGTAAAAATTTAAATAATTTGGTGATGAAATGTCAAAAAGTGACAAATGAGGTGTCATTGTACTCGTAATGTAGTTTTCTATTAAAATGAGGAAAAATATACCTAGCGACTCATTTAAAATAAGAAAGTTAGGGTCACTTCCGGTCAAACCGGAAGGGATAGTAAAAAATTAAATACGTCAAATAATGCACATCCGGGTCATAAATAAACACACCAAATTTCATTTGTTTATCTGGAAAAATAAAAATGTTATAGGGGTGAGCGGGTTTTGAAAAACACCCGGTATATGAGTATGAAAATACATCGGAACTTGGCCACATTAATACATGTCGTTGCAGCAGGCTGGTTGTCGTTTTGAGATCGGCAACTCGCACAACTCCGTCTTTTCGACTTTGCTAATTTTTATTTATAGGCAAAGGGCATTTTCCCTTAACTTTCGTATCACCTGCCAAAGAGTTGAATATAGCTTTCAAATAAACCCCCCAGGTCCGATCACACTGTGTCGTCCAATTTTTTGTTTCACTAATTAAAATTTTTAACTTCACTTTTATAGTTTCTAATTTCTTCACTTTCAACATCTGTCAATAGCTCGAGTTTATCTCAATTAATGATTTATAATCGACGCGTGTATGGCCTCCTTTAAACCCTAGGTATACGGAAGTATCTATTTTGAAAAGGAATCAGTGTAGCTGTGCTACCGCCGGCAGCTGTAGGTTACTGAGCCGCCTCATCAACGACAAGGTGATAGTTCTTCTAGAGAGGAGAGGGTGAATAACCGGCTTAGGTAACTAGAGAGGTTATGGGTGACAGTAGGGAACGATTGTTACAATTTTGTCACCTGCACGTGACTTCGTTGCTTGAGGTGAAGTGAATTGAAGTATGATGAGATAATGAGCAAATTCAATACCGTCTAGTGAGTCCACTAATTTGAACTGATGTTGAGGCCTTTGTCTGCACTTTTAAAACTGAAAATGCACAAACGAAGATATTTGTTGATACTACAATATTATTTTGTTTATTGAATAAATATCTAGTCATCCAACCAATCCCTATTTATTAACAGTGTCCTAACCCCGCTAGTATAGCCATTATCGGTAATGCCAAATCTATATAGTTGTAGTTAAAAATTATTCACATAATTACTACTCTATTTTAGGTCCGACAACCCACTTCGCTTCGTCAAATGCATACCTGAAAGACAATATGTACGCAGTGGACAACCACTTCACCGACAACCAAGTGCCGGTACAGAAAACGCACTTCATGACCAGTTCAGATTCTGAATCACCCACCGAACCATGCCAAACCGTTGCAATGCTCAGAGCAAGAGTTGTGCCAAACAATATATAAGACTCCCAGAAAATTTGAACAGAGAAGAATTTCACTTATGATTTCCGAATTTAGCTGATGTTGGTACAAATATACAATGCTTCAAATACAATAATTGGCACTCTATATTTTATTGTCTAATTTTTTTTTTTTTATAAATTGCTAGATAAGTCGACTTTTTCACATAAGTCTTTTGTACCTAACTTAGAACTGACTTAGTATAAACTTCCAAAATTTTTATAACAATGACTTAATTAATTGGGCTATAGTTGAGATTATTAAATTCTAATTTGTAGTTTTGGCAAATCAAAGTGAATGCTAGAAAATAAATATGTGAAGTTATTAACAAATAAGTAATGAGGAAACTATACTATAAAAAACGTTGACAAAAAATATTAATAAAATATATTTTAAATATCTTGTAGGAATATAGAATTTAGAAACTTCCTTAAAATTGTGTAATCAGTAAGTGTCTTTAGCGGTACCCTGGAAATAGAATAATTGAAATACATATTTTGTAATTTAGAAAATCAACATCTTGTTATAACATGTATTTAATCTTGTATGTCTCGTTAAATATATTTTTATATGTTTTGTAGGTAGATCACTAGTAAGACAAAGACAAAGATTGGGCGCATTTGTTACAAATAAAAACAAATGTGCGCACACTTTTCTTTTTAGATGAGAACGTCATCGACCAAAAAAAAAAAGTAAAATTAGCGAGATTTTGTCCCTTTGAACTACAACAAAAATTAGTGGTAAAGACTGAATGTTACCGTAGAGAAGAAAATATTTCAATTGACATATCTCACAGCAATTGAGTGAATTTAGAAACAAATAAAAACTAATTATTTGTAGAAGTGTACCCTTTACCTAAGACTTGTGTGATTTATTAACCAGTTAAAGTATTCATTTAACTCTTAAAACGTTTGCTATTCAATTGGCCAAATAGAGGTGTAATTTACACAATCTGAATTGAAACACTGCAAATTCTTTAAAGAAGCAAGTTATTCAAAATCATTCATCTTTTTCTCAAATAACTTCATTTGGAAGTTCGAAAATATGAATTAGTTAGTATTAATGTGACGTGTCCCACACTTTATAGGACTTCCCATAGATGTCGAGATCAGCCCATTATAGTTCCAGCTTATGACTTATCACTGAATTCGCAGATTCAACAATGCGTGTTCTTAGCACAGCTGATGGGTTTTCACTGTTTTTAGTATTCATAATAATACCATCCAAAAAAAAAGTGGCACGGTGTAAGCTCTGGTGACCTAGGGAGACAACTATTGAGTCCTCTGCGACTAATCTTACAGAAGAGTACCTCATTGAGGAAACCGGAAATATACAAATAGCAATAGTGGTGGTACTCCATCTTCATAACCGTAGCTTTGTTCCAATCCATGCCAAACAGTCATTAAATTTCGTACTGCTAGGGTTGGTTGGAATGCTCAGGCTTCACATGTTCGTGGTTGTCCCCAGATGAAATTGCTGTTACCACCTTCCGATGCTCTAAGCATCAGGAGGATCAAAACCATAACTTCGACTTAATGCATGCTGCACTGTACTAATTATCCATTTATCCAGAACCTTACTGCTGTTCAGTCGCGCTATATACTATACAGTGCCTATCGCAAAGCCATCTGAGGCACTGATCCTTACTGTAATGTCCCCTTAAATAAAACTTCAGCTCCTTTTAGTCCTTTGGTACGATATTTATTGGTTTACAACGATACATAAAAAATACGGCAATCTCTTAATTCGGCTGTCGCAGACAGGCTCATCAGCTGGGCCGTCGTGATGGGCCCATCAATGTTCTGCGCGTGTGCGCCAATAGAACATATTAAGCGGGGTTTCCACCACGACACCCCCACACTAAGATGAAAACAAATTCCATACCTGCAATGCCATTGATTTTACTTAGTTCCAACCTATATTACTAACATACATATCTATGGTTCCAAAAGTTACAGTAGCTTTCATTCATTCCTTACTTCTAGAAATAAGTCACAACCAAAAAAAAAAAAAAACAATAAATATTCAAAAATCTTATACATAAAAAACAGTTACTTATCAATAACAATTATCACAATTAAAACGTTACATAAGTCACAAAGACCTTAATTTGTCAAACATCAATGATTTACTCATTGGTGAGATAGAATGCCACAGTATGCATAATTTCTATCAGTCAGCTAATTTGATTCAGAGCTGGAAGAGAACTCAGTTTTATAAGAGTCAAAATAAGATGGATTTTTACGTTTTCGAGATATTCTTGAACTCGAACTCACATCGTGAATTTTGCTTTCGGATTCGTTGAGCTTTGAATTTCTTTCCAATAAAGGAACTTCTACTGACTTCTCCTCCTTCTCCTCCTCATCATAAAAAGTTGAGAGTGACTCCGCCATCTCACTAACCTCCCTCATGATTTTTTTAGACTGTTGCCCAGTCAAATCAGCCCCAGGCAGGTGTTGCGGATACTCTATTTCTGAAATTTCACTACATGAACTGGAATCTACAAAACCACTACATTCAGAAATACTTTCATCTGAAATATCATTAATTCCAGAGGGTCTGGTTCACAGGTCACGGCTTTAAAACCAACTGGCTGGGTTGAAGGCAAATTCACAAAATAATCCAAAAGACCCTTAGAAGAAACCTTTATCAAACTCTTCACCCATCCTCAATCTACCGAGATCGAAATTTACATTTTTTTCTTTTGAAACATCATATTTTTGGATTTGATCTATGTGACGCTTCAAAATTTGACCATTTTGAACTTTACAAAGAAAAACAGAGTTAGGTACCCAATTTTTCCCTTATGACGGCCTGGATCCATTTTCGAGGTCCCCTATAAAGTCTGACGTACACATTTTCACCTACCTGAAATTCTCTTGCACGTCCTCTATAGAATTTCTTTTGTGCTTCTTGTTGTTTAACTGTCCGATCTAAAATAGAGTCTCTAACCAAATTCAACTTACTTTTGCTGTTCTCCTTAACTTGACTCAAAACTGTTCTTGGTTTCCTGCCAAACATCAGCTCAAATGGTGTTTTTTCCTGTGGTACTGTGTTCTGTTGTTCTGTACGTGAATAAAATTCTGGACACGATAGCGGAATGAGAGAAACCAATGTTTTTAGGATCAAGGTAAGCCGAAGCTAGCTTGTTTTTTATGGTTTTTACACCATTTTCAGCAAAACCATTGCTTTGGGCATGGTATGGCGGTATAGTGATATGCTTTATACCGTTTCTTCTGAAAAATTCCCCCAAACCAGCAGACACCAGTTGAGGTTCATTGTCACTTACCAATGTTTCAGGTAATCCCAATCTCGCAAAAATTTCCCTCAGGATATCTTCAGTTCTGGAGCTTGTTGTGTTGCTCATCTGAATAACTTTTATCCATTTGGTTGATGCATCTACAAGAATTAAATGCATTTTATTCCTAAATTCACAAAAATCTGTATGTGTTTTGGGGGGGTTCAACACATGGAACATGATTTTATGAGGTTTTCTATTTCATTTTCAATGTCACCCCAAAAACCCAAGATCTAGCAAGGTTTTTAGTTCTGGCAATGCCAAAATGTGAATTATGAAGTTCTGTCAAAATTTTTGGTCTCAAAACTTTTGGTATACATACCCGATGTCCATAAAGTAATACTTCGTTTTCAACATGAATATCCTGCCTTCTAGTGTAGTATGGTTTCAGATTCTTGACTGTATTCTTCGGCCACTTTCCTTCTTTAACAAATTTCATCACCATGCAGAGTTCTTCGTCCTCCTTGGTTTTCTGCCTGATTTCATCATTGTTTATAGGCCAAGAACTTACCTTTTCAGTGAAATTAATATATTGCCCAGCTAGGGTCTCCTCTCCATTTTCAGTTAAAGGCTTTCTGGAAAGGTAGTCTGCTACAGGGTTTTTGAGTACCCTTAACATGTTCAATCTTGTATTTAAACCTTGATAAAAATGCTGCCCATCTCTGGAGCCTGTTCGCAGCTGTTTGCGGAATGCCCTTATGCTCACCAAAAATTGTTATTAAAGGCCTATGATCAGTTCTTAATGTAAAGGGATAACAAGCTAAATATTCAAAAAAATTATTTACCCCAAAATAAATTGCCAAAGCCTCTAAATGTATTGTGGAATAATTTCTTTCGGATGGTTATAAGGTATCTGTTGTTAGAATAATTGGATACTTTTCTGGGTTTAAGTGTACCAATGTAATATCAGAAACTATCAATCTTTTTATTTTCAAAAAACTGTTTTCACAATCCCTTGACCAATGAAATGTATTGTCTTTTTTTAACAACTTATAAATTGGGTGTAAAATATTGGCTAAATCGGGAACAAATTTAGAATAATAGCCTACCAAACCTATAAAACTGCGAACTTCTGAAATGTTAGTTGGCCTTTCTGCTTTTCAAATTGCATTTACCTTGTCATCTAATTTTTAAATGCCATTTTTGGTAATCCTAAAACCCAAATAAGTAATTTTTGACACAAAAAATGTACATTTTTCTTTTCTTAGGGTGAAGCCCGCATTCTGCAACCTTTCAAAAACCAATTTTAGCTTTTTATTGTGATCCTTTAAAGAAATACCTGATACCGCAATGTCATCTACAAAACTTACTACTCCATCAATTCCCTGGAGAGTCTGCTCAATAATTTGTTGAAAAATGTAAAATTTTGATCATAGCACTATCACATAAAAAAATTGTCTCAATATTTTTTACCCTAACATCTACCTACATTAAAATCATTTTTGGGATTGTTAACATAATTTACTTCATTAAAATACATTTCAATTTTTTCATTTATACTGTCCTGGCCTTGCTCATTCACCCAATAACATTCTAACATTCTCTATCGCTCTCAGTCTCACCTTCTACATATTCCTGATTATATTCATATTCATTGTCCGCTTTCTCCTCCACAAAATGAATTTTTCTTCTATTTCGAGAAGCTGTTTCGCACATTCTTGCCAAATGCCCTACTTTCTTTCATAAATTACATCTTGCATTTCCAAAAAAACAAATTCCTATATCATTACCACAGATAAAATAATTTTTATTTTTATATTGATAATGTTCAAAGTTTTGATTACCTTTTCTTTTATCAAATCGGCCATTTGCCAAAGTATTTTCATGAGCCTTGGCTCCCAATTGGTTCCGTTGACTGCGCAGAGTCACATGATGTGTTCTGTGGCCTTCCATTTGCTGTCTTGGTCTTGACATATATCTGACATCCTGGTCCTGATGATCTTCCCCAGTAGCACACAATGTTGGTCCCATGTTGCGGATACATTGGACCAATATTGTATGTTGGCCCAATATTGGAATTTTTTAGCCAGCATTGGACATTTATTGGCAATACAACTTCTTTCATCATTATAATAATATATTTATCCAAGAATGGGCCAATATGCACAAACAATATTTTTATCGGCAGCATATAGCCAAGATTGGTTACATATTGGCAATACATATTTTTCTTATATAACAGTGATATATGTATCCATCATTGAACCGATAACCACAAAAAAAAATGTTTTTTTTTTTGCATTATTGAGCCAATATTGGCAATAATACATATTTTTCCACATTGTAATATTATATTTACTTAAGAATGGGCTAATATACAGAAAAAATATCTTCATTGACATTATTTAGACAAAATTGGTGGATTATTGGCAATACAACTTTTTCTAATATTACCATAGTATTGTATCCATTAATGGACCAATATGCACAGATAATGTTTTTATTTGCATTATTAAGCCAATATTGGATATAATATGGCAAAACAAATTTTTCTAATATAACAGTGATATATTTATCCATATTAGCAAAATATTGATTCTATATTGGTAAAATATTGTATATGGGTCCAATATTAGCAATTTGTAGACAATATTGGTAATATATTGGAGATTAATCTTTTTCCTACATTATTATTATATAACATGTGAACTCAAGATTGATCCAATATTGGATCCAATCCATGTTATAAATAATATCTTTTATTCATGTTTATATTTAATATTTATCCAATATTGGTGATATATAGGAGATGTACCTTTTCCATATCAGGACTACCGAGAGAGGGCACCACGCGCTACTGATGGCCTTGCTCTTTCCTAGTGTTTGAGTTTCCTTCAAACCTGTTTCTTTAAGTTGGTGTGCTTCGCTCACAAGCTCGAAGCCGGAAACCGGCCTAGTCTGCAGGTGTTGGAGCTTTGGTTAAATACATATGTTTTTCCAAAAAAATATTGTAAATATTTCTAGAAGAAATATTTCATATTGATTAAGCATGTCTTTAATGGTTTCGTTTCTGACTCTTCACAAATCCTGTTTTGTATCTTTCCGGGATTTAAACCCAGTCACAAATTTATTTAACAAAAATAAATCCAAACTTGCCCCAAAGTTACATAAGGTTGCTGCCCCTCTTATTTTGGCATGCCACTCGGAGATTTGCAGCTGGTCTTGCGATAATTCGAAAAATTTGATTCTCTCCCTCCATACGCTTTTGGAAACACCAAATTGGGATTTCAGTATATTGCAAAGTTCCTCGAAAGATTTTTCATTTGGTGGGGTTGGATATGTTAGGTCTTTTATCAATTTATACGTAGATTGACTCACCGAACTTAATAAAATTGCCACCTTGATTCTTTCTTCTTCTACGTTGTTTACGATCAAGTGCTGAATTAGCCTTTCGGAATATAATTCGAAGTCGTCCACGTCAGAATTAAATTCATAAAAGCGGGGTACTGCCGCAGCCATTTTGGACTCTCGTGATCACGACCTTCACAGTTCACACTGTTTTGTTTTGTGATTTTACTCACTTTCCCCGACAATTTTGCTTTTACCGACTGCGCCACTGTAATGTCCTGAAGCCCTTAAATAAAACTTCAGCTTCTTTTAGTCCTTTGGTACGATATTTATTGGTTTACAACGATACTTTTGGGGATACATAAAATAAACGGTAATTTCTTAGTTCGGCTGTCGCAGACAGGCTCGTCAGCTGGGCCGTCGTGATGGGCCAATCAATGTTCTGCGCGTGTGCGCCAATAGAACATATTAAGCGGGGGTTGTCATCACGACACTTACATTCTCTACCTGCCACATAATATATTATGTTTGAAAGATACTGCTTGCAATGAAGCGTTATGAGATTGGGTGAATGATTTTGAATAACCCTATATACTTTTTGTATCTTGGTGTGAGCTTATGAAAAAGCAACTTAGTTTTAACATCTTTGTCTTCCTAATAGAGGCTCAATGGAACCATCTCAATGGGACGTTCCGCTACTTAATTGTTGCTTACTATAGAATAATAGTACCTACCTACCTTTTATCTTTTGAAAAACGATGTAGAATTCGGCATGGGAGTACTTTTAAAAGAAAATAAAGATATACCTACCCTTTGATTTTCAACAAAAATTTTCAATACTAATAATCTTTTGAGGCGAGTGCTAGTAAATTGATCGTATAGAATATGAAGTGATTGATAATTTGTTGTTTAGGAAAAACAAAATGAAAATCAAATTGTATGCTGAAATAATAACCATTGATTAGAGAATAAACAGAAAAGGTGACCTTAAAAAAAGTTTCCCCTTTTTGCTTAGGTATCAGTTTTGAAACATCTAACTCTTCAAGCTTTCACAAAGAGTCCAACCAAATGGCAAATATTTCAAGAGAAAGGGTCAAACTACTTGATAGTTTTGATTTTTTCCTTTCAATGCAATGATATTCAGACAAAAATCCACTTAATTAAAAATATTGCCGAACAACCTTATTTAAAATCTCTTGTAAAGTCAATTTGCCATTTTATGATAATTCAATGACCTATAAGTATGTTTCACCTGAAGCGGCACCCATCAAAGAAATCACTTACAAAAGATCGAAATTTAAAAAACTTGAATTTTTAAGAAGTGGGGCTAAAATAATGGAGGTTCTAATGCCTATCATAATAACATTATGGGAAATAAGTGTATCAACATAAGACACCCATTAGTCTCTAATAGCAGAATGTGCTCTACCATACCTGTATAGTAACTATTTACTTTGCCTAGACAAGTAATTCTGATCTAAAGATCAGGTTTTTAAAAAACCTCTTAAAAACTTAGAATATGACTAGAAGGCCTAACAAGTGGAGTTTGCAACGTTGCCAAACTAGAATATCTAAACGAAAATCTAAGTTTTTATTTATAAAATGAATTCTGTTTATATTAAACAGCAATCAGTCATTCATTATACCCCTTTTATATAATTGGACTTATTAAACATTGTTTTCGATAGTTTTGAAAAATCTGGGAATAAATCAGTGAGCGGTAGCGTAGTTTTAGTAAATATAAAACTAAAAACACAATTTATATAGCTTGAAACGTATATACTGAATTCATGAAGGTAATATTGTATTGGTTATATTTTAGTTGCCTAATAATTATGCCTGTATAGTGGTCCAGATACCTGTACTTCTAGTTTAACGAGAAACTTCAAAACTTTTCGGTTTTTGGAAGATTCAAAATTGAGTTTAACTTAAAACCACCTTCATATCTTTCAAAGTTTTGACGTTTGTTTTCTATCTGGGTCACTCCGTATACTATTTTTGCTTCATAACATCAAATTATTGAATGTATCATAATCTTTGGTTTTAATATTTATCCAAATATTGTTTGATTCCTAAAAAAATATTATAATCAATAGCCATAAGAATTTTATAAATATATCCTATTCACAATCCGTAGTCCAGAGGTAAAGGTGAATTTATCACCTTTCTCTATCAAATAGCATCGAGAAAATAAATTTTATCTTTACCTTTGGACATCGGATTGTGAATAGATAATACATACCAACATAACGAATAATTTCAATTTCATTTCCAGTAACCTATATAATAGATTGATAAGTTACAAAGTTAAAGATTCTAACATGGAATGAGAGGCCTTGTAGATTTTTGTGTAACTGTATTAGGTTGAGAAGTAGTAAATAAAGCATATCATTATTAAAAATGTGTTTTATTATTTAATTATTTCTTTAACAATTTTTGCGTCACTATCGGTTTTGTCTTTATTGTTTTTCAGCAATTCAATATATTTTAGAAGCTTTTGTCGTTGTTGTTCTAGTCTTTCTTTTCTTAGACACTCGAATTCCTCTGCGTTGTCGTTGCGTCTTGTTGCTGGAAACTTTGGAAATTGAATTTTGTTTGGACCTTCTTCTTCATAAGTATTTATCTATGAAATAATTAATTTCACCAGTAGCTTCAATAAAGTTGTTAGTAAAAGACAAATATTACCTCGTCGAAAAAGTCGGCATTATCGTCAATGGCGATTCTTCTTAAACTATAACCACGATCACCATGTCTTGATTTTTTGAAAATTCTTTGACCTAACTTAGACCATAGGGATTCTGTAAGTAAATCATTACCAAATATTTTAGGTTTCGGAAGGAGCTTTATTGTTACCATGTTGGTGAGTTCCATGTGCCTGCAACAAGTTTTTTCTTATTATTTAAACAATTCTTTTTGAAGGTATAATGTCTTAACTTACCTCTGGAATAATAATATCCTGATCAGTCTTTTTAACTTGAAGGTTTTCAGCTGACTGAATTGGAACTTCTTTCATGTACTGTTGAGAAGCTACCGTGAATGGTAAAGTATCTGGAGCTGTTTGTTGCCAGTAGTAGTCTTTCATTAATTTGGGGTGATCTTGGTGGATTTTGTCTACGAGTAAATAACAAACCTAGAAAAAAAAATGATAAAGAACTGTCCATAGTTTCACCCTATAGATATAGCCTTCCCAAATAGCAATCTTAACGTCATTTCAATATATTATTATGTTAAGAATGGACTACTTGATGTCGGTAGGTCTCCCTCACAACAGGAATCCGACTAGAATGAGAAACAAAAAGTCTCTCGTCGCTCAATTCAACGTCGGAGTTAAGTCTTTACGCGGAGCTCGATTATCGAATAAAAATGAAACGCCTTTATTTTTAACTCGGTGAAGGGCAATTGTTTTCTTAACCCTTAATTGATCGCGCTGGCGTAAAAAGTACGCCAAACGAGTTCAAACACATGACATGTTGAAACTAGCGATTGGCATATGTAACCTACCACCATAGTGTCTTGTATGCACTGGAAAAGTGGCGATCCCGTAGGTTTCCATTTCGCTTCCCTGCAGGGCGCTGCTTCGAATAATGTACTAATTGGCGTACAAAATACGCCAAAGCGACCGTTTATGATTTTTATTTTTATAATGGTTTATAATACTGTTTTCGCCTAAACAGTAACATTTATGTGGTTGGGATTGAAAATGTTAGTTTTATGTGTTTTGCTATACCCGCTTAGCGAAAAGATTTCAGAATATGAAGTTTGTTCGGTTGTTATAATTTTTTTATTTTTTATAAATAAACTGCTTTTTTATTTTTCTGTGACACATTATATCTAATATTTCATGTGTTGATAAATCAATACTTGAAGTTACTAAGGATTCCACATTCCTTTGAAGGTAGCAAAATTCGTCTTGATCATGAAAAGACATCTTTATCTAAGTGGCGTACAAAGTACGCCAAGCGACGAGTTATGTGAAATAAAATCTAGCGACCAGTTAAGGGTTAACCAAGCATTGTCAAATCAAGTTTTTTTTTTTAAAATTAAAACAACGTCTGTTATGTTCTTTTAACAAAACCCTAATAATACTGGTTTAATAAAAATATATAGAAGGGGAAAGAGATGTTCAATAGACTGGGGTAACTAGGGGTGGATGAGTTACCTATGTGAGGAGGTGGCAGTTCAAAAAAAAACAGAAAGGATACCTCCGTTTTCAGGACGGCCGACTAGCTCTCACTGCGGAGAGGGGTGTGAATAACTAAAATCAGAAATGAGCGCAACCTACTTTAGTACCCTACCTGATGATCCGAAAACAGGAAATCTCTGATGCCAAATAATACTGCACCGACCTAAAACTTCCAATAGGAAATAACAAAATAATAGCCTGAAATTCGAATAACTCTCTTATTATTAAATTCAATATTTAATTAACAGTAGTACGGCCCTGATAAGGGGATACCTACGTCAATATTTATATTTCAATAATTTTTGATAAAAATAATCACTGGCCCCAATCAGTAAATAATGTAAACAAAGCCAGTAAAACTAAATATCTACCTACACAGAAATACGAGAACAGTCTTAAAGTTCCCAAACCTTACTCATTATGGTGATCAAAAGTGATAACTAATTTCCTAATTACATTCATTGAGTTCAAATAAGTGGAGGGTGATAATTAAGTACGGTTCACGTCCCTTAAATCAATAACAAAATACCCAAAATACCGTCGTAAATAGATCTATTTGAACCTAGTGTACAGATCCACTAATTGAGGATTGTGAGTGTTAGACGTGTGTTTACACTAATTTGGACTACATGGAATGTTCCAGGAAATCAAAATAATATGGAAAGTAAACGTAAAATTGAAGAGTACAAGTGGTTGCAGGTAAGAGGCTCCAGCTCCTAAGGAGATGTTAGAACCCTTAATACAGACAGGGTGGATGGTTCCCAAAACGGCACAACGATACGCAAACCTGAGTATGTAGTTCTTTGATGGAGTGGTACTACTAGGAACCTCTTGGGGGACGATTGAAATTCACAGGCCCCAAAAGCTCCACAAGCAATCTATCAGGTTCAGGATCGAGCTTCAGCAATTCAGCAATCAGGTGCCTTTGTGCATCTAACGATAGCAACAGCAGAAAGGAATGTAACGTTACCCAATATAAAAGGCCTAAAAGAGAGAGTTCACACTATAAAAACTCGATTTCAACAAGAATTGAGGTAAGTACTGCAATCAATTACGTTTTTGGGGACATAAAACTCTAACAGGGAACAGAATACAAAACAAAATGATGAATAATAGGGAACCAATGTGGATTGGCCTTTTCAACACTCAACACGTGACACGAATCAAACTTATTTTCCAGAATTTGGGTTTTTACGTAATGAAATGTTGTTAAATTAGCAAATACTTGCTGTAGTGTTATATAAGAATCATTGGCGTATCCAGGATTTTGGTTTGGGGGGGGGCTCTGTTAACAAAAAGTGTTGACCAAAAAAAAAAAAAAAGCTGCGCGCAATAGTCCATTTCCACGTGCCTCTCATTGACTAAAGCATTCATGCGCATGTTGCCACATTAGAAATGACGGAATAGTTTAGGATCATGTTACCAGGTAGCCAGAGTTCACCGATTATACATTATACTTATACCTACTTTCTTTTTTTATAAAGTAGTAAAAGATGTTAATAGTTATTTTCCTAACAAGTTCGCAAAGTGATACTTTCCCGCACGAAAAAGCAGTTAGGCGAACGACGCGAAGCGGAGTTCAAATAAGCTTTGAGTCTGGGAAAGACACTTTGCGCAAGTGTTAGGAACAATACTTTTTCTATGAGTGTTTGTAGATTCACATCCAGAGGAGCTGTACCCAATCTTCTTGAATGTTTCCAAATGCTCAAAATTGGTAATTTTCTCTCCTAGTTCGATGTGTTGTGTTTTCAATTTTTTTTTTCAGTGATCAGCTTGACTTTATTTGCAACATTGGTTGTGCTAACGAGGTTTAATTAAAATTTGAACGAGTCGTTACGTTTGTTTTTCCTGCCAAATTTTGGTATGCAGAAGTATAACTTACAGTCCAACTTTTATGATCTGATACTCCAAAGAAATGTGAGTTGGTGGCTCTCCATGTCAATGGTCACCTGACCTCACATCTGTTTTTGCTGTATATTTCTTCCCCTCGCTCTTCATACGGAAAGTGTCAATTTGAAAAGGCTTGAACATTACCTGAATGCCTTTCTTGGAATAAAAATAACATCAGGCCCTTCTTTCTGAATATAAGTTTATACAGCAAACCCACAAAACATTGAAAAATCAAGTATAATTGGGGTTACTATGCGTAACAAAAATGAGTGCGCAAAGAGTTTCCGTGCGCAAAGTTCAACTTTTCGCACGCAAATGAGTGCGCAAAATAATAACCTTGCGCACGCGAGTCGAAAAATAGGTTATAGGTAGCTATAGTTTTTTATCAGCCATATTTTGAAATGGTTTATTGATGAGAACTTCGGCATCCTCGCATGTTTAGGAAAGTGACGTCCCTTTCCTATCCGACGTATTCGCAGCAGTTTGAAATTTTTTTCAAATCATTTTATTTTCAAAAAATTATTTTTTTTTTTTTTGGAAAAAAGTATACAGATTTTATCAGAATGACAGATTAATTTAAAAATGTGAAAGTTGCCTATTTTTGTCAGGAATTCACCTGAAGCATACACAAATGTTACGCACCTATTTATTTTTGCAATGCGACAAAAATTTTCTCATCGGGCCACTTATTTGCTTTTTTTTTGGTAAGGAGGAGAAATTTTGTTCACGGAGCACCTTCTCTCCTGGGCCCTTATTCTTGAAACAGGGAAGCCAGCATTCCCATGAGAATAGCTTTTCCGTCTGTGTTACTCATATTATCTTTTGCATGTCATTGAGAAAGACAGAGAAATCGTTCTCACGAGAACGGTGGTCCCCTTGGTTTCAAGAATAGGTACCCTGAGCTGGGACTCTGTAACGGATACAGATCGTTATCCCTATCGCTAAGGCACTTGCTGTCTTCTTCTCTGTTTCCCAAATCAATAGAGACGGCACGCCAATAGAGATAGAGAAAATATCTCTATTCATTGAGGAGTCCTATCTCTGGGGTTCGATTCTCGTCTCAGGGAGTAGAGCTCCCCGAGAGAACAAATTTTTCGTCTCTATCATTCTCTTTTACTTTTCGATTCCGTTGGAAACGACAAAACATGCGTTCTATCGGGGAGCTCTACTGCTCTACTCCCTGAGACAGGAATCGGGCCCCTGAGGAAGGAAGTATTCCGGACATTCAGGATGATTAAACTGGAAGTATTGATTCCCTTGCTGCATTAGCCGCCCGCCATAGAAAAACCTTATTATAGAAAGAAATGAATTTAATTTCTATTTTTTTTATACAAAAAATGTACATGTCACATAAAATACGCTGGAAAAAAAATAGTCTAGACTTGCCTTGGGGGGGGGCTGCAGCCCGGCAGCCCCCCCCCTGGATACGCCTATGATAAGAATAATAACCACCGTTTAAGACTCGATTACTTCCCAAATATTCACTCAAATTGGCCAAAATGCCTCAGAAGAAAGTTATAACATGGCTTCTCTTCTGCGTGATTTTAGAAAAAGAAAAATTCCTCCAACAGTAAAATTTCTGGTTACACGAATCGAATTCTAGGGAATTTTTCGTTTATTTTTGGACAGTTCGAATTAATGCATATTGCGCATTCAATACTCAATATTCAAATTTTGGTGCCACATTTGACTTTAGTTCCTTATCTGACTTAAACAATTTCTTGACCCTACAAACATTTGTTTACATTTTCCTATTCTAACCCTATCTCAATTTTCTTATTACTTTAGGCTGGAAACCTGATGTTTTCAAAGTTGCACAATGGAAACCTCTGCAAAAATAGGAAAAACAAATGCTGATTTACCTGATTCCTACATAACAAAACACAAAACAGAGAACACAATGGTAAAAATTCAAAAAAATCGCCAGAGGCTGTGGATATCTTCATGGAGAATAATTATTGTGACTGTTATGTGAAATATATACTTATTAAAGATTTTAAACTATTAGTTTCCTTTTTTTCATTGCTAGGCAAAATCAGGCAAGGACAGAGTAGTAA